GTTCTCTGGGGCTGCAGGCCCCTGTGAGAGGTCAGTTATGTTCTCTGGGGTTGCAGACCCCTGTGAGAGGTCAGTTATGTTCCCTGGGGCCTGCAGGCCCCTGTGAGAGGTCAGTTATGTTCCCTGGGGCTGCAGGCCCCTAAAAGCTGGAGTGAGGTTGGTGGGATTTAGTTCTGAAAATGCACCGTCCTGTGGCTAACAGGTCAGTGTCATGTGCTAGCAAGGGATTTCAGTTCCTCACAGCACAGATCTCTCTAGAGAGGCAGGTGGTGGTGCCTATGATCCTAACACTTGAGAAACTGAGGCAGGAGCTCATGATTCAAGACTAGCCTGGGCAATATAGCAAGACATTGTGTTAGGGGAAGACAGACTGAAAAGGCATCTTAGGTCAGTCTACAGTTCTCCTTGTGAGGTACAGAGGGATGGGGGGCTCTGGCACATTCACATCTGAACACTGTGATGAGGCCTGGTATGTAATCCACTGGAAGTGATCGTTACTTGCTTTTTCTGAACAGATCCCGAATCAGCAAGGTGGAACTCTTTAGATCATTCCAGAAGCTGCTGAGCAGCATTGCAGAAGACGAGCAGCCGGACTCCATCAGGTGATGTTGTCTGTCCCTCTGTTCTCCTGTCTGTAATGACGTCTGCTCTGGTTCTAGCTTATATTTGGTGAGACATGAGGCTCAGTGAGCCTGTGGGTGCTTACTGCTTACCCAGAGAGAATGGGAGGTTGTGGGGTTTGTGTCAGGGTCTTACCTACATTAGAGAGGCTGTTCTTGTAGGAAGCACAGAAGGTTTGGTTTTAGTCTTACACATTTATTTACTTATTTTGAGATAGGATCTCACTGCCCAGGTTGGCCTGAAACTAAAACTCACAATGTATGGCAGTTTAAGCTCAACCCCCCAGCAGTTAGTTCCCCTGCTTTCATCTCCCAGATGCCAGGAAGACATCACTGGTCTTTATTTTTTCATTTTATCATTTGACTGATAGGCTGACGAGATGCTGGGATGGGACCCAGGGCCTCTCATACAAGCTACAGAAGCACAGGACTCAAATACAGTTTGAAATTATCAAATTCATGGATCTTCCTCTTTACTAATAAGAAAAATTATTAGCCGGGCGGTGGTGGCGCACACCTTTAATCCCAGCACTTGGGAGGTAGAGGCAGGCGGATTTCTGAGTTCCAGGCCAGCCTGGTCTACAGAGTGAGTTCCAGGACAGCCAGGACTACACAGAGAAACCCTGTCTCGAAAAAACCAAAAAAAAAAAAAAAAAAAAAAAAAAAAAATTATTAAAATAAAACTGACATCAGTATTTACTGCAAGAAGCATAGTCTCTGTCTGCCTGAGGTCTCCTCCCCAGGCCTCTGTCCTCCACCACACTCCTGCGCCATCCTGTGAATGTGCACACACACATACACACAATTAAACATAATAAAGTAGGGGCTGGGGGGATGGCTCAGAGGCAAAGAAGAGCACTGGCTATTCTTGTAGAGGACCCAGGTTCAGCTCCCAGCACCCACATAGTGGCTCACAACCACTATCCAATCCCAGGGAATCCGACACCCTTTTCAGGCCTCCTCAGGTACTGCATACACATGGTACTCCAGCAAGATAAATGACCTTACATAGACAATAATTCATAATAAATAATAAAAGTAAGGAACAGGTTGAAACACGATAAAGTTGCATTAGGAAGGCAAGCCTCTGTATGTTGTCGTTGTTGTTGTCGTTGTCGTTGTTGTTGTTGTTGTAGTAATAAAAAAGAACTGGTAAACACAACTTCAGGAAGACTTTTTTTGGTTCACAGTTGGAGGGCACAGTCCATAGTGGCAGGAAGATGAGGTGGCAACTTATACTGCATCCAGAATTAGGAAGCAGAGAGGAGCATGGATGATCAGCTCGGCTTTTCCTTTTGTTGTCTGGGACCCAGCTCATGTGTGGCACTGCCCACACCCAGGGTGGGCCTCCCACCTGAGTCAAACCTTCCTGGAAAGCAGCACCATCACGGACATGCCCAGAAGCTAGTTTCCCTGGTGATTCTAACTATGAATACAATCTAGTTGACAATGGAGACTGATTATCACAGTCTGGATTTATTCAATAGTAAGAATAGTAAGATTAGCCATGCCACAAGATCGCTGAGAAGAATATAAGTAAAAATATTATGTGTAAAAGTGCTTGACCCAGCATGGCTTATACTTGGTTTTAACAACCAGTAACGAATTTTATTTATAAAAATTTATAAAAACCACTTAACTCAGTGGTTAAGATCATTTGCTCCTCCTCCAGAGGACCAGCTGGAGTTCAGGTCCCAGGACTCATGTCTGGTGACTCACTCCAGTTCTAGGGGATCCAACGCCCTCTTCTGGACACCATGAGCAAGAGGCACAAGCATGCTGCACAGACATACATGCAGGCAAAACACTCATAAAATAAAAACTTTTAATTACCCGGGCAGTGGTGGCGCACGCCTTTAGTCCCAGCACTTGGGAGGCAGAGGCAGGCGGATTTCTGAGTTCAAGGCCAGCTTGGTCTACAGAGTGAGTTCCAGGACAGCCAGAGCTACACAGAGAAACCCTGTCTTAGGAAAAACAAAACAAAAACAAAAAAAAAAAACAAAACTAGGCTAGAGTAATTCTTAGTAGACCTATACTAAATAGGATTCTTGCTAAAGGCAGGCAGGATAATGAGCTAGAAAGTAAAAAAAAAAAAAAAAGCTTTTTTTTTTCCCCTTTGGGTAGTGTCTCATGAGGCAGACTAGCCTACACTTACTGCATAGCCAAGGATGACCGGGACAGTTCTGTCCTCCTGTCTCTGCCTTCCAAGTGCACACCTGGCTTACTCAGTTCTGAGGATCAAAGCCAGGGCTTCATCCGCTCAGCAGACACTCTACCAGCCGAGCTAACGCCCAGCCCAGAGTGAGGAGCTGGGTCCAGTACTGAAGGGGCTGAGAAAAAGGCGGGAGCCAGAGCTGCTGTTAGAGGACACAGGAGAATTCCAGCTCAGATCGGACTTAGAAAGCCAGGCAGAGCTCAAGGCCAAGACAGGGACTCCGAGGACTCCCGCCCACATTTTGGTCCTAGTCCTTAGCTAAAGAAAATCTCATAAGAATTGCAACTATTCAGAGTATCAGACACTTTTCAGCAGAGAGGCTAGGGATGTCAGGTGCAGCACATAGTAGGATGTAACGTTCTTATAACAATAACAGCCAAGAAAGTTCTAATCCCTAGGTCCTCTGGTGGAAGTATTAAGTCAGGGCTGGGGTAGACAGCTCAGTGACAGGAGGAGGAGACTGTCCAGTGTACATGAAACTCTGTGTGGTCCTCAGCACCACAAAGAAAACTTTTCTCTGATGGTACAAGGGCCATACAAAACCAGTGTTGTGTGATTCTAACCTGCTTAAACGCGTATTGCTTTAACCTGGATTCCTGTGGAGGGACAGAGTGCTCCCCCTGCTCCTGTCCTGCTGTTTCAGTCTGCCCTGTTGCTCTAAGGGCAAGCAGTCCAGTTAGAACTGTGCTTGATGGCATGTGTGCATTAGGGTACAGAAGCTGGCTACCTATCAGGAGTACAAGGAGGCTGCGTCTGCCTACCAGGAAGCCTGGGCTGCACTCCGGAGGATACAGCCGTTCGCGTCCTGGATCAGAAACCCACCCGACTTCCACCAGTTTAAATGAACTCTTGCTGGTATCAGGAATCTTCACATTGGTCTGCCTCTCCCTTCATGCTGAACAAACCTCTGCTTTTCTGGAGGTTAAATCCGAGGAGAAAGAGATGCCTTCTCTCAGAGCGCCGCACCTCTTTGGTGTCATAAATGGAAGCCAGAACTTTATCAATTTATACTTGACTTGAGCAGCTCTGTGCTAAGAGAGCCTCTCAGTTATGAGCTTGGTATCTGCCTTCAGTTGTGTTTTATTGTTCTTTAAAATACAACATCAGAGTTTGGAACATGATGCTTTTAAAGTAATCTGCAGCAGCTCTGGTTTGTGTCTTCTGACACTGATTCAGCAAGTATGCATTGGGCTGAAATCTCTAGAATGCTGGAAACTTTACAGCCTCTCCTGGACTAATGATAATGTATTTCGTATTCCCAGCTTCCTTTTAGAACCATCCCAGTCCTCAGCAACCAGACCTGGCTGAAGCTAACTTTACCCTCAGGCTCAGCACAGGACTAGCCTTGGAAAGCTCTGTTCTCAGACTTACCAAGAAAGGTTAGTTTGTTTGGGTTTTGTTTTTGTTCTTGAGACACAGTCTCACTTTGTAACCTACACTGTCCTTGGCTTTTAGTCCTGCTTCAGCCTTCCAAGAACCAAGCCACCATCATCCCCCACCACACTACTTTTTCCTCATCCTCCTACCTTTTGCTTGAGACAGGATCCCTCTCTATAGCCCAGGCTGGCCTTGAACTCAACACACAGCCGAGGATGACTTTGGGCTCTGATCCTCACACCTCTGCCTCCTGGTGTCACACCATACTTTGCTTCCAGGATTCTCTTCTGACCAGTGTCGTGAGGACCATTATAGTCTTGTAACTGCCAGTAGCCTCCATCTTTTCCTACAGACAGAGACAGCCAGCTGAGAATGAAGGCAGCAGAGGAGGAAAATGCCAGAACAGCAAAGCACTAGGGTCCAGCCTGCACCCAGACCACATGAGACAAGTGCCTGGTTTGATGTTTTTTCTTGATTTATGGGGGCCACACATGCTATAGTGTATGTGTGGCGGCAAGCACCTGTATTAGCAGAGCAGGGCCCTGTTCTGATTGAATTCTTTTCTTTTTTAACTCAGTTCCCAAATGCCTTAATTTCCTACAGCAAATCCGCAAACGACCTAGCAACTAACTAACCTAAGAGAGAGTGCTCAGCTTCTCCCCACCTTGAAAAACTAGCCGGAAATAGAAGTGCTGCTTGTTACTCAGTGTCACTAGGTTTTATAGTGTTTTGTTTTGTTTTGCTTTGGTTTGTTTTTCCAGACAGGGTTTCTCTGTGTAGCCCTGGCTATTCTGGAGCTCACTTTGTAGATCAGGCTGGCCTCAAATGCAGAGATCTGCCTGTCTCTGCCTCCTGAGTGCTGAGATTAAAAGGTGTGTGCCACCATGCAGGGTTCTTTTAAAGACTTGAATAAAATGTGAAGTAACATATTTTTTAGCTATTTATTTATTTATTTATTTCCCATCCTGACTGAAGTTTCCCCTCCCTCCTCTCCTCCCAGTCCTTCCTCTCCACTTCCCCTCCCCCCACCCCCTTCTACTCCTCTGTTTCTCTTCAGAAAAGGGCAGGCCTCCCATGGATATCAACCAACCACGGCATATCAAGCTGCAGTAAAGCCAGGCACCTCCCATTGAGGCTAGTCAAGGCAGCCCAGTGAGAGGAAAGGGTCTCAACCAGTAATACGTTTTTTTACTCCTAAAGTTATGATGTCAAGTTTACTCACACCCAAAAAGCCTAAAAACCTTAGACACCGACATATGGGTAGAAAGCACTGCAGGCTAACCACTGAAGGCAGCTTCATCTTGAGCTGCACTTACTTTCTCAAGAGCTAAAGGTGGTACTTAAACGTCCAACAGCCTACACCCTATCTTATGCTCTTAGACCCACGTTTACACTGTGTGGTGGGGCATGCCTTTAATCTCAGCACTTAAGAGTTCCAGGTCAGCAAAAGCTATCTGGAACAGAGAAACCCTGTCTCACAAAACCAGAAAAAGGAAAGCTTAGAATTGTACGTATGCCTCAAAATCCCATCTCTGCAGTGCTGTAGACTGTCTCCTGACACCCAGGCTGTCCTTACCTTCCTAAAATCCCAGGCCAGAAAACAGTCCTCTCCATAAATTACCCCACGTGTCCTGTCTGTCCCCAGTCACCCGCAACATCATCCAGTCTGAGCCTTGGGCCAAACCCATGAACACCTCTAGAGCCAAGGTGGTTCCGATTGTCATTTGACTCGTGTCCCTCCTGTGGTCCTCTCCAGGCTCTGGCTGCAGCAAACCTGTTTTCTTGGTGAAGTCAGAGACTACAAGGACATTCATGCGTGTCCCCACTCCCCACTCCACTGGTGCCCATAGACCAACACTAGGAACAGGACAGGGAGCAGGACAGTTTGCCCTAGCCATCAGAGAAACTAGGAAAGGCCTTCCATGTGGTAGGCAAAAGCTCTACCACAACCACCAGCTATACCCCACCCAGGGTTCTTTTTTAATTACTGGGAAGGATTTTGTATTTTAAACTGTAGAAAAACTAGAAGCCCCTTGGAAGTGAAGTTGCACAGGAAATGGAGCAGCAGTAGCAGCTCTACCCATAATTCCACAAAATTGTGTCTTCAAAAATTCATCCAAATTTGGCTCTGGAGAGATTACACTCACCTATGTTCCTAAATAGGGTCTAATGTTATGACTCTGTGTGTGTGTGTGTGTGTGTGTGTGTGTAAGTTTTCTTTTCCTCAGAAATTTTAGAACTTAGTTTGATTCAGCCATGTGTGTATACATGTGTGTTCACATAGTTCTTCCTTCAGGATGGAGGAATGCCATGTTAAATGCCATGTTTTATGGATTCCCCAGTGCCAAGCGTGAGCTCACTGTCTGAGGAAACTAAGTTGCTGTGGAGAAAATGGGCTGCCCTGGCCGCCAGTGTTTTGCTGTCTGATTTGCTTGTGTCTGTGGCTGCTGGAAAGCTGCCCCCACCCAGACCTTGACATTTTTGGTCTAAGGACAAGGTTCCAAAGCCAGAGTTTTCCAGTTTCTAAACACCAGCTCTTTTCGGCCAGTTAAGTTTCTAAGTGCCGCTTGCCTCCGGTGCTGCCGGGAAAGCCAGAGCTGCTGAGCCTGCTGGGAGCCCGCGGCAGCACAAAGGTCACTGAAGTAGGAAATAGCCTCCAAATAAAAACAAAACGTGTGTGTGTGTGTGTGTGTGTGTGTGTGTGTGCGCGCGCGCGTGCGTGTGTGTACATGTGTGTATGTTCATGTTCATGAGCCCATGCAAATCTTCCCAAAGGAACTAAACTGGCTATCCAAAGGGAATAGCTAGATTCAGAAAGAGCCAGGCAGCCCATATGTACAGCCACACCATCCTGAATTGAGCTCAGAGCCAAGGAGGCAGATACCTTGGAGATAAAGTCTTTATTTTCAGAACAGAATAGTTCACTTTATACCTCGCTTTGTAGAATCATAGTTGCCTTGCATTCTATACATGTAAAAAAAATTTTAAACAATTATTAAAAAAGAAAAAAAGCTGGGCAGTGTTGGTGCATGCCTTCAACCCCAGCTGATAAAAGTTGAAGGCCAGCCTGGTTTACAGAGCTAGTTCCAGGACATCCAGGCCTACCCTCTATCTTGAAAAACAAAAGAAAAACCAAAAACCCGAAACTAAAACTAATTGTGTCTGTAACTGGACCAACCTGTTTCTCTGTAAAGCCATCCAAGTAAATCCAAAATGATTTTCAGGTGGTCCTGTAGCCCAAAGGACAGAGGGAACTTAGTCAGAGACGTTTCAGAGATATAAGTAGCCTTAGAATTCAATATTTATTTCTTTCCGCTGGGGACAGTGGGTAGGACACAACACTTGTTAACATGCAGGTTGCTACTTTCAATCTCTAACACTAGAAAAAAACAAAACAAAAACCAAAACAACCTGTGGCCCGTTTGTTTGATTGGTAATGTTTGTTTGGTTGGTGACGTTTGGTTGGTGACATTCTGGCCTGAGGCCCTGGCTGGCCTCTAACCCATGATGTTCCCGTCCCAGTTTTTCAAAGCTGCTGTTACAGATGGGTGCTACCATGCCTGGCAACAATCTGTGTTTTACTTAGGATATTAAATAGAAAAATGCAGGTCTTGTGGAAGTTTATGAAGGTCTAGAGTTATTTTCTGTGCACCTTTTTTTTTTTAATGTAATCATACCTCAATTTAGAATGTGATAGAAAAAAAAAGTCCTTATTACTTGAGAGCAGAATAAATTTGAGTACAGCCATGATAGTACACATGATAGTACCAACTCTGCCACCAACATCCAGTTGTATGCAGGGAAGGTATTTACCCTTTGACTTCTGACCTCCATTTTGTTCTACAAAGGAAAGTTCCAACAGTGAGGATGCTCTAGCATTTTCAGGTGTAGGGTCGGCTTTCTCTTTTTTTTTTTTTTTAAATTGTGTGCTGAGAATCCAACTCTTTCACATGCTAAGCAAGTACTCTACCTCTGACCTCTGCCCCAGCCCCACTCTTCAGCAGCTCTTAGTTGGGTGGAGTGGAGTGGTACACACCTTAGATCCAGTCATGGGAGGCAGAGGCAGGCAGACCTCTGAGTTCAGGGCCAGCCTGGTCTACAGAGTGAGCTCCAGTCCAGCCAGAGCTAAGTAGTAAGATCCTAGCTCAAAAAGAAAAGGCAAATGAAACCTCTTAATTGCCTAAATAAAGCACTTGGGAACGTCCCTCAATGCTGTGGCACTGTGACCTGCATACGGCCTCGGTTACATTACTGATAGGGTGGGGGAGGGAAGCTGCTTTTGTATTAATGTAGCAGCCTAGGGACACTGGTTTGGATGTGCTATTCTGCCCTTCCCGAGATGAGTCTGCAAAGGGTAGGAACCAACATTTCATATCAAGTCTGTTCGGCACTGCTTTCAAGTGTCCAAGTGTGGTAGAGCCTCTGGGGGAAAAGGCAGAGGCAGAAAGTCACTCCAAGTAGAAACCCAAACTGCCAAACGCTGGTTTCAAGTACATGTTCCTTGAGATTGGCCCCACTCCAAAGGGAAAAGCTCACAGTGAAAACAGTGATGGCCATTTGTTCAGGCAGCCAAGACGATGAAAAGCGCATTGAACCCAGCAGCAGCGTCTCCAAGGAGGAGGCACGGTGGGCCCCTCAGTAGTGAAACCAACCTGGCAACTGGGTGGGGGTCACAGAGCCCTTTGCCAGCGTCTGTCTTCAGTTCCACAGCAGGCCTCTCTGAGAGCTTGTCAGGGAGCGGCTGAGAAAGTGTGCCAGGAGCAGCTCATGCTTGACCAACAATAGATGCTCACTCAGTCTCGGTTGCCGTTTGCCTTGAATTGGGTTTTGTTGAGAAGAAAGGTGTGCTTCTTGAAGACTTAGGACCCTGCTCCTTCAGATATTTGTAGTCCTTCCTCCTATACAAGGTCTCAGCAACTTCCTGGTTTTGGTTTTATTTATTTATTTATTTTTGGTTTTTCGAGACAGGGTTTCTCTGTGCAGCCCTGGCTGTCCTGGAACTCACTCTGTAGAGCAGGCTAGCCTCGAACTCTCGAACTCAGAAATCCTCCTGCCTCTGCCTCCCAAGTGCTGGGATTAAAGGCGTGCGCCACCACTGTCCGGCCTGGTTTTGGTTTTATTTTTGCCTCTCATGGGACTGTTTTGGCCTCTGAGAAGTGACCTTCCCACTGGTATTTTCCTGCAGTAATAATGTTCACCTAACCCATTGCCGTCAGGAATGTCTCTATAGAAGTTTATCGGTGACTCCTGCATTGAGAGACTGGCAGGCAGAGGGTGAAGGGACTATGTGAGAGAAAAGAGTTCAGCTGGGAACGTTCATATTACCTTCCAAACTCTACTTGAAAGCCCAGCTCTGCCTTGCTGTTTGTCTCCTCCTGCAGTTCTTAGGTCATGACCCTAACTCCCCATATGACAGTAGTAGCACATGACAGAATCTTTGAGGGTGATCAGGCAGAGCCCTCAGGAATGGGATTGGTGCTGTTATAAAAGATGCTCCAGAAGCTTGGTGTGATGGCATCTGCCTTAACAGCGTTCTGGAGGTGAAGGCAGGCCCACCTCCAGGACCTGCCCTGTTCCAGGGCAGCCTGAGTCACCCAAGACTCTGTCTCGATAAAATCAATGAATACCTCAGAAAGATCCCCACCACTTACAAAGTAGTTAGAGGATGGTCATTGAGAAGCAGGGATTGCGCCTCACTAATTAATCTGTTAATTCACCTACATGTTAACTAATTAACCCACATATTAATCTGTTCTTCCTGGCTTCCAGACATATGAGGGATCAAACTGCCGTTTATGAAGCACCTGCGTTACCACAGTTTAGTATAACAACCATCTAGATTGCCAGTAAGGGCCATAGCTGTGGGTGGTGGCTCACACTTTTAACACCAGCACTCAGGAGGCAGAGCAGGCAGATCTCTGATTTAAAGGCCAGCCTTGTCT